TAATATTCAGTCATGGTCTGAAGGTTTTTACAATATACTATTGGGGCAGTGCATACAATTCCCAACCAACAAACACTGTTCCAGTCCTCTTGGGCTATTACTACAGACATTGCCAACAAGCAAATTTATTGTCAAATAAAACATATTGTTTGCAAATTTCAGCAAATTCAATTATTTTTTTAAATTTTTTTCTTTCTTTCAGTTTCTGATTTAGATCAGACATAGGGGGATTGCCACTACAGTGATCTTGCTCTCTGAATATACTCACTTGAATGGGGTTTTTTCTTAATCATCAAAAATTATGCAGCAATTTATTGCTGTCAGAAGTCACTTGAAGTCTGTATGTCATCACCAAGGACAAAAGTTCCTTTGGCTCCAATCCATGATATTGTAATTCCCTTGTAATTTTCCTGCAAAAAATGAAAGTTTTCATTTCCAAAACATTTTTAAGGGAAGGCTAACCCTAATAAAAAGGCTATTACTTTACCAGAATACTCAAGAAAAAGCAGGTTTATTACATCTTGATATTTGTATCTCATATTGCTTTATTCCTCTCTCCTTAAGAGAAGAGTTTTTAAGTCCAAACTGCTTAAGAATCTTCTGCTTTTACTTTTTAGGTGAGCACCTTGCCCCTCTTTACTGACTTATTTATTATGTTACATGGAAAACCATCATCATCGCAACTAAAGAATTACATCTTAGGACATGGGCCTCTGCACAGCATATCCACTCCCAAAAAGAACTCCTTTTATCTGTACTAAGTTTATCTAATATCTGCTTCTCATCTTCTAGATGATAGGGTATTAGTTTTATAGACCAAGATCACGGATCTCAAACTGTTTTGTGATCACCTTCTAGAAAAAAAAAATCAATATGACAGTACGATTGCAAAACAACAAATCTATTTCTCATCTTCCAGGATAATGAAATGATCATCTCTCATCTGGGAAAAGTGTACAATATGCCTTTTAATAACTGCATAATGAGCCAATGGTTAATATCATTATGTCTGCTCCTACAGTCTTTATTTATTACTTGCAAGCAGTCTCATTAACAGTGGTGATTGCTGATATGACTTCTGTGGCTGCCAAACCAGGAATGAAGAACCAGAACCTCCAAATTAAAATCAACTCACCTGTACTGAAAAAAATTGTTACTCTTGTGGAAGATAATCCTAAAATTTATGTTGCACATATATATCTATACTGTAATTTTTAAAAAACATTATTCATTATTCAATCCTCTATTTTTAGAGGATTTTTAAAGCCACCTGTTCCTAAAAAGCTACATAGTTACTTTATTTCAGTATTAGGAGCATTCATATGGATTATGCTGTCCTTAATTATTGCTCAGACATGTATGTTAATGTTGAACAGTCAGCTTATCACAAAAAAGCTCTTATAAAGGAATATATGTGCAAGTTTATTGCTCAATCCATTATTGTGACCAACATGCCTTGCAAAAATAAACCAGAGACCTAATAAATTCTTTTATGAAGATAGCAAAAAGGATTAATCTAGGTGTGGATTCTGAAAGCACTTTGAGGAAACTTCCTAGACTTTTTAACAGTCAATCCAGATCATTTGACAGATTAGATTTTCTTGTATAAAAATGTCATTGCTCATTTGATGTGTAAGGCAAGTTTTGGACTCCTATCACCTAAGAAAATCAGACAGAAAAGGTCTTTCCCACCAGGTCTGCAACACAAACTGCAGGGCACATCCTTTTCACTTTACTGGAGCAAGGACTCTGGTACAATAAATACACAGAGAAAGATGGAATAATAAGAAAAAGTTACTGTCCAACTTACTTCTGACATCACATCCTCCATAGAATGAAAAGGTGACTGCCTGCCTCATCTCCCATCACAGAGTGTCTGCTGAAATAGCAGCTGGAAAGAAGGAAGGGCATTAATTGTGATTCCACCACAACTATCTCATTAGCAGAGTCACAGCTAACTGTGGAAGAGGCCTCTCCAGTTTCTAGCAATTGTTTCTACAGTACCTTTTTCAATCCCTGGTGACTTATCTTAAAGTGGCTGGAAAATGGGATGTCCTCTCCAGGAAGACCCTCCTGGAATAGTAGTACACTACTTAACAGGAACTTACACCTAAATCATATTTCATCAATTCCCCAAATATCTATTTTAAAAGTCTTAATTCTGTAATTCTGATGATTATTACAACCAAATATTTGCATTAATATTCTTGTTTTTACTCTCAGGCAATATTCTACATTTATTTTTGTTTTGTTATGGTCTCAATGAATTTTCTAAATCTTTCTAGAGTTAGCTGAGAGAGAAATCATTATTCATAGATATTTCATACATTTCTACTATTCCATCTCATTCTTGATTGACACTCTAAGTCCTTGACAAAAAATTTATCCAGAATTTTAGTTCTGTGGGCATTAAAGCAAATACGTAGATCAAATATAAATCACTTATACAAAGCAGACATTTCCAGGTTCAGTCCTCTGCTCTATTTTAGGACAGCCTTTTCTAACAGGCTATTTCATTCATCCCTGTGTCACTACACTACACAAACCCAATTAATTCTTTCAATTTAAGCTTTTAAAATGTAGCACAGACTGCTAATGTTTCAGTTATTATTGAATTTTTTTAAAATGAAAACAATCCCAAACCATTTAGCATAAACAAGTAACTAAGTAGTGCTCAAGGGAATTGAGCAACCTGGTTTAGTGGAAGGTTAGAACTAGATGGTCTTTAATGTCCCTTCCAACCCAAACCATTCTAGAATTCCAGGATTCTGTAAGTCTGAAACAACTTTAGTTCTTCCCATGTAGCAAAAAATAAAAGTATAACAAGGACTTGGTGAGGAAAAAAGTTATTAATTACGTTAGTTATTACATATTAATTATATGTCTTGAAGTCTCAAAAATGGAAAATAAGCAAACAGAAAAATTGAGTTCATTGCCATGCAAAAGCTACCTAGATTTAATTAAGAAAAACTTAGCTTAAAACAGTCTGAAAATTTTAAACCTGGCTCACTTACTTCATTTTGAGTCTTTAAACTCATTGTACCCTAGGCATGTGCAAAAGTCACATAAGGCCAACCAGGATAAAAAAGCCCAAATCAAACGAAAACAGAACACCAAAATCCCCCACAAAACCAGTGGGAAAAAAGGAACATTAAGCAAGATAGGAATTTAATTCCTAATCTAGCTTGTAGCAGATTAGTCTTCGTTTGTTATTTAGACAGTTTACTTCTTAGAATGGAATTTTATCACCCTGGAAAGGGAGTAATGCAAATAGAAAAAGCACCATAATTGTTAGTAACGGTGTGGTGACTACATGGATTGTTTCCTCTTCTCTTTGTAACTATCAAAATAGAAGAAACTGTTATGGTAGTTAAAGTAAATGAAACTGTTCCAAATGACACAATGTTTCTTTCAACATATTTAAGAGCTACACTGTACTCAGATGAAGGAGGAGTAGACACAATTCTATCAGAGGAACGAACACTCCCTGTACTTTTTATCAAGGATTGTCAGTAGCTAAAAAATAATTGTCCTGCACAGCTGTGTTTTCTTCCTAAGGGCACCAGAACCAGCTCGCTGACCCGAGGCAACTTGTCTCTTATTATTGGGAGCCATTTTTAATACTTAGAGAAGCCTTTGATAGCAAAGATTAGTCAAGTGCCAAAGGAAATAATCTCAGTGAACAAATTAAACTTGGAAGTACATAATCATCTCAAAAGCAAGTCATAAACTGAGACTTCTTTCCCCTCCACTGGCAATATTTTTTTATGCATGCTGTCAGCTTCTAAATGTTATTTTAAAAGGAAATGTAGTTTTGATCATATATTTCTCTGAAAGACAGATTAGTGAGTCTCTTTGTATTATTCCCTTACTGAGATTTATTTCTATGTATCCATTGTCTCAATTTTCACTGAAAGACAGAAGATATCCATGGTAACTGCAGGTTTAAAACTAAAAAGTGTAAACATCTCCAGGGAGGAAGAGCCTAATTTTAAGGTTATTCAAAAGTAAGAACAGTGCTGCTTGCAGTATTCCTGTGCTGTTTGAGTTGGCAAGGCCAGTGGACTAGAGTCTACTGAAGTTCCCTGAAACTGATGGATATTTAAGAGATGCTGGAATCCCCAAAGGGAAAGTTGAAAAATGTCCAGTCATTTTGAGTGCAAGAGATGGGGCCTGGATATTAGATCAATCCATAACTCCTGCATCTGGCTGTATGGGAAGGAAGTATGTGGGATTGGATAATTGATTGGAATGTTTTGATGGTACATACTTTTTTGGGATCCTGGTTTCAGTCTGCCAGTTGTTTACATTAAGGAAAATCTGGTCTGTGTTGGATTGGGTGACTACATACATAGGGTGACTACAACCACCCCTGGGTTTCAGTGTGGCTCAGCCATTACCACAGACCTACCTGTGGAGTGGACCACTGAAGCAGGTCACTAAAGCCTGCTGGGGAATGATCGAATTCAGATTGGCTCAGAGAGCTGGATCTAAGGACAACAAAAGGACTTGCTCTAGCAACAGCAGCCCAGCAAGCCCAACAGTCCCTGTTCTTGGTCACAACAGCCAGGGCAGGACAATAATTAAAACCTGTTGTTTCCACAGGAGTCCAAACTGCTTCTGCAGTCAGAGAGATGGGAGGGATGGGGAGGTGCTTTTTTGGCTGGTAAAGAAAAAGCCAGACTGATGGATGAAGCCTCCTGGTATCACTGTTTTGGTGCCTATTCAAAGTCTGACAATGTTGGCACTTCCACCTCCTAATTTCAGGCATTATTTCATTCTGCACCAAGGCAGTAAATAAGTAGGACTAGTCCAGCCACTGTTATAAAAAGGGTAGCATATACCCACTTCAAACTAACAACAAACCATTCACTACTCACAGCTGTTTCTTTCATTATGTACTAACATTGTAATATTAATGATAGTATTTTTCTTATATGGAAAATTTTCTGGTTTTCACTTGCCAGTGGCAGAAAAATACTTTGGCTCTGAGAAGCTGCTTAATTTCTTCCCATGAAGATGATCTTCCCAGAGATGTCCTCTTCAGACCCCTCATCATTACTTATGAGAGAACAGAATATCAACAATTTACTAGTTAAATGAGATACCTCATTCTCAGACCTGTGCTATAATCACATCACTCTGCTTCTTTTAGCTCACTGTTTTACATATCCAAAATAATACCCAAAACTGTAATATTTTATCCTCAATACATTCATGAAATAGAGAAGTATTGTTTTTTCAAAGATAAGAAGTCTATCTTATCTTGGTAAGACACCAAGACTAAATAGATAAATTAATGCATGAAGCAGGACAGGGACCATTCTCTGGTGCTGTGGTCAAATAATGTGAAATAGTTCCTACATGTAGTTAAACTCCCTTCCTGCAAAATTAAAAAAAAATATATAATTGTCATACTGCCCTTTGGGAATCACCCATAGCACTTCAAGTAGTACCTGGGAAAATGGGGTTGGTACAGGCAAAATCATTCCAGAGGTGCAGAGAACTAGTAGGCTATAAAACACCTGTATAAATAACTAGTCACCTGGATTTTCACTATAGATCAAGGCAGGCATCAGTATAAATGAGTGAAGAGAGATGAGTATCTTCAGGAAAGTGACCCACCTCATCCTAAACCAGGCCATTCCAGAGGGTAGTTAATCTCACTGTCTCATTCTGCTGGCTACACATGCAATCTACATAACTAATTTAGACAGCATATATAACAGCTGAACAGACTAAATTTAGTGACATGAATAGTCTCTGAACACATAGGAGATGTAGAGCAATGTAAACCCAGACTTTGTTGTTTATCTGACTAATTAGCCAAAGTCTGATTAATATACTGCATTTCACCCCAATTAGCTGCAGGAAGCACAATACAAAAACATATACTTGCCTATCAGAGTGCTCAGTCCCCAGCTGTGTTTTGGTGATATCCAGTTCTGACTCTAACTGAGCTGCTCTGTTTCTGAGGTGAGTAAAATCGTGATTCTGCACAGCACTCTGAAGTCCATACACATTAATTAGATAGCAACTGTAATTCTCCAAGCATGTAGCCACATGCAATTATTCAAAATCAAAAGGGCAGCTATACTATGCAAATGAGATTAGGAACATTTTTTGGAGCAAATTATAACACTATGAGGAACAGTCTATTAGGGTTTAACTGAGAAATCCAAAGCAGGGTCTTGGTATCTTCTGCTATTAATATAGTCAAGGCACATTGGCCATTTGAAAATGCAGCTAGATATAAAACTACCTCTGTTTAAATAGACTTGGAAATTATGAGAAAAACTGCAATACTCTCCTAGTAATTTACTCACAGATTATTTTCTGCTAAAGCAAGCTGTTCCTCATGAAACTGAATTTCAGAGACTTTCTCTTGGTTTGCTCTCTGTGACTGAAATTCGTTCTCACAATTGGACACAAGAGAAGATTCCAGGTTTTTCATAGATGCTTTTTCATTTCCCAGTTGTTTTCTCAGCAGCACTGTTTCAGAATGGTTTGATTCACACTTGCTCTGCAGATAAACAAAGATTTTAAAGTTTCAGGTGTATGTCTATCAAGCTTGCTGGCATTCTATTGAGGTAATCTTAAAAGAAAAAAAAGATAAAAATTTAAAAAAAGAAGTCTGGGATCAATGATAAAATTCATTTTCACTGTAAGATGGGTGGTTAGTTTTATATTTTCCCAGTCAAAATCCTCTGTGAGATTTATAAAATCATCCAATGTATATATCTTAATATAAATATACTTGATACAAATGAGAAAATGCTATGAAATTGATGGATCAATGGATTCTGTAAACAGAATCATTAATGAAGAGGAAGGAAGCTTCACATTTTGTTGAGGCAAGAAGCTATTGATTACCTGTTTGCACACAGGAAATAACATGTGATACTACAAACTGGTACCAGCATCACCAGCAGATTGAGACTACACTTACTTTACTTACAGGAGCATCAAGAATAAACTGGAGGGAAAGGGAAATTGAATAAAATCCAATCAAAGAGATTAAATATCTATAAATCTTTGAGGAACCTAAAAAAGAATACCCAAAAAACCTAGTATATTTCACTGCAGAAGGCATACCTGAGACATAGCTACAAACACACATTAAAAAAATAATTCCAGAGGCTGAGAATCAGGAAAATCAGTATTGGGTCAGCTATAGAGATAAAGAAAACTGCCTGTTTCAATCTTAGTATAAGTAAACTGGATGCTATTTTCTCTTCATCTTTTCATGTATGCATTATAGTCTGACTAACTGAGTCTGGGGTGTTGCAACATTTTATCTGTATTTTACTCAAGCCTAGTTTACATTAAGCACAATAATGCTCGGCCAAAGGCCATGGGAAATCTATGAACTGGGACATCTTAACAAACTCTCCACCTCTCCAGCACATTTCTCAGAAATTTCAGAAGATAACCATTTGTGTGTTCAAAGGAGGAAGAACTGAGGTCATAGGCCAACAGAAGGGGGGAAAAAGAAAAAAGAAAGATAAAGGCAAGAAAAAAGCATTTGTCACTTATCAAAACAAAAGTCTTTTTTTTTTTTACCAAACTAAACTGAAAGGTTTCTTCATTCTGAAAGATCCCATTTTCTATGTCACTCAAAAATCAAGTTCCTTTGCAGAGAAACAGTTTTGATATTCTACATTTGTATTTCAGAAAAAAAGAATACTGAAAACTGTACACAGAAGAAGATACAGGAAAATAAACAGTATTAGAAACATTGAAAGAACAATATTATTCAGAATCAGGTTTAGTTTCCACTTCTGAATATAAATATGCTGAAATCTAATGATGCAGATTCTGTGCTGGAATACTGTGTAAAGCAAGAGCCTTATCTGAAGGTTATACATGGCTAATGAAAGACTACTGGTTGAAAGATACAGAAAAATTAGTGAAAATTTCCCAACTTCTGACTTTTCTCCAACTCTCCAACTGCATTTCTGCAGTTTTCTTTCCTGAAACTGTTGCTGTTCTCCACAGTCACAGCAATCCCCTTCACAGAAGGATCCAGGGAGGCTTAGCCATATTAGATCTCATAAAAGTTTCAGATAAATGTCTTATGCTGGAACTCTTTCATATCAAAAGAATCATAGAGGATTTCATAAGGATACAAAAAACATCACACACATTTGGCTGGAATACATAACCAACTGCAAACAGCAACTTTACCCACTCTGCTTCCAAAAGGCACAAAGGTTTAAAGAAACTGCTGGAAGCCTATAAAGAACAAGAAATTATCTCAGCTGGAGCAGAGGATGGACAGGTCAGTAATAGAATCATACTGAAAATTCCTGAATAATCTGAGCGTGTCTGAGCAACTTTTCAAAGTTTATCCAAACAGAATTTTAAAAAATGTATCACATAATAATTTTGTAGTTTTTGTAAAAATCAAGGTCAGCAAAAACTGATTTCCAAGGGCAATTAAGAAAATATTAAAGATATTGGTACTTCCTAAACTAGTCAATAATTTTAAAGTCCACACCAAGTTTCATTGCTAACAAACAGCTTCAGCTAGTCTGCTTACCTAGTGACTAGATGTAAAATCCAAGATATCTTTCTTGAAAACAGTATTTTTAGCCCCGACTTTTGAGTGTTCATAGTAAAACCCTGCAAAGCGGTGAAGCAGTGTCCTTTTCAAAAAGTGTTCAACTCATACCCTTTGAGGAGTAAGCCCCTGAGAAATGCCAAATTAAACATTGAAAAAAATTGCAAAAATGATCATTCATAATCCTAAAGTATATTTGGATCCCTTAAGTGTAGCATTAACATAAACTTATTTTTCTAATATATTTCACATACCCTTTCTACCTTCTCTGCTGTGGAAATTAAATGCTAATTTAATCGTTCTTTGATTGCATCTACTTTAATGCAAAGTTCTGGTGTAGATGTGGCATTTTCAAGTACAGAGACGCTCTCCTAAGGTGTATTTTGAGGCCCTCTGCCCATTTTCACAAAAGAGTTGCTTAAGGCAAAAATAGGAGACTTGTATGCTGCTTCTGTTGTTAAATGATACAGCAATGCAATATAAAACTCTACTAAAAAATTATTAAAACAGCTTCCAAAATCCTACAAAATATCTCCATGTAATTGTGGCAAATTTTAAGAGGCTGCAGTAATTTATTCTACAATAAACTTTAAAGTTATTTCTTTAAATAACTCCTGTATACAAAAATTATACAAAAATTAGGGGGTTTCTTGCTTCTGACAGCAAAATTATCTTCTGGCATTTTAAACTCTATTCTTAGAATTCTACTCCTTTTGCAGAGTTAATAAGGTTGAAAATTCTGCCATGGACCACATTTTATTTTCAGCTGAGATCCTCTCCTTTTAGCAATAAAATTTGGCTTTGCATGTAAATGATCTGTGGATGCTGAGATTCTGTCAGTCATATTTATACTCCTGTCACCTGTAAATTCAGGCATGACTAAGAGATGAGAGAGTCACTTTAAGGTGGAGTCCACGAGGCAGCAGCAGCATGTCTGACTAAAAACATTAAGAATTTTGTACATTTCAAATTAACATAACCTAGGTTTTTCCTTTTTGAAAAATGCCTGTACTTTGCCCAGTGATATTCCTGGTCAGCCACTTTAAACTCCTTAAGTTTCAGTGGGTGGCAGAATGAATGTGGGAGGTTAACAGAGCAAAGTTAGAGGTAAGGCACTGTGAATTGCTTGAATGATTTACTAGAAATGACATCCAAAGAGATTATTTTATGGGAGCACATCACATTAATTCTAGCTCTGTCTCACCACAAAAAAAAAAAAAAAAAAAAAAAAAGCACAAGGAACACAGAGCACTGCTGAGCACATTAAGATTTTTGAATAAAAACTTCTGTGTTTTAGATATGTGCCTTGCATGTAACTGTATGAACTGGAATGTGGCATTAGGAATTCTGACCCAGTATGTTGATATAGTGTTCATGAAGAGCCCTGTTCATTCCTGTACTTCATAGCAGGGATGTAGGAGGGATTAGAAGGATAAAATGTCTGCTGGTTTCAGACTTGTTGGACAAACTAGAACCATGTACCAGTTTTATTATATCTTCAAGGAATGCCAAAATCTGCCACAACACCCTCCTGTGGTGTTTTGTTATTGGTGTGTTCTCATCCACTTTCTGAACAGCAACAGTTTGGTTCCTCTAGAGTATCTAATATTCTTGAGTAGCTTTCTGTGGGATTCACATTCTCTGAACCTGAGAGAAGCAGTAAGAGAAGCAGGGAAAAGAATGATCAAAACAACTCCTATCTCATGTACTGCGCCTGTGTGGTTCACAAGTGGAATGCATTGTGGAAGATCGTTTACCTGAAGGGAATTGATAATTGGATTCTGGTGTGAGTGTTTTGATTCACTGACCAGTTGAATCCGTGTGTGTGTGTGTTGGGACTGTCGGTGACAGTCACAAGATGCTGTGCAGTGGAGTGCTTGGCAGATTCCATTTAGATGTAATGTAATATAATACAGAATAAGATAGTATAATAATTTAATTAATTAGCCTTCTGATAAGATGGAGTCTTCCTCATAATTCCTCCTGGATGTTGGGTAAAAAATATCACTGATAGCCTTCTGCAGCTTATGTGATGGTCAGGAAGCAGAGATGATCTGCAACAAAAATTGGAGAGCCCCTAAACCGTGTTTATATGCTCACAATGTATTTCCAAAGCCAAGATATGAATTTTTCTTAAAATTCTTCAGATTTTCAAGTGGGAAGAGGCTCTTTGGGACATCTAAAGCAGTGGAAAGAAGGCTAAGAAGCTCAAACCAAGAAGAGCAGGGACAGGAGCGTGACAGGTGACAAAGTACTTGATATGATTCAGGTATGCTGAGCGGAGTTATGTATGACTTGATGCCTTCAGTGATTCTGAACCACAAGAGCATTTAATTTTTTATTTTCCTTGAATTTTTTTTTATTATTTTTTTCCCAGATGTGATTAGTGGAATTCTAATCATACTATTATATAAAGTAAAATGCATACAGTTTATGGTGGAAAATCTCCCTGAAATAGAAGTGGCATTAAACATAATTTTAAAATATTACCAAACCATTTCAAGGGTGAACTAATGAAAGAATGATTGCAACTCACTTGCTCCATCTGTGTTTCAAGGGACTCTATTTTCCCTTTCCAACTGTGGCTCTCAGACTGCACTGCTCGCTGCCAGTCTAACAGGAAAAGCCTGTTTCTGCTTCAGGTCATTTTGCTTCCCAACTTTCTCCTTGTTCAGAGGCTTTGTGATAATTCTCCAAGAGCTCACAGTTCTCTCTCCTAACACAAAAAACTTTATTTATTTAATAATTTACAGTAAGCTCCAAAAAATAGGGATATTTACAGACCTACAGATATGGTATTGAATATACTCTTTCCAGTGAAAATTCTGCCATTTGGTGAAAACATTGAGAGACTTCTCAAGAACCAGAGTTTTGTCCAAGATGAGCATATTTTAATGATCAACAGACATCTGTTAAGAATGGCTAGGTTAACACTAGACATACAAAGTATAGCAATATAGTGCAGTAATATTTCTTTTTACTTTAGTCCTATAAAATAATAAAGAGAAAAGAGTTCCAAGTTTCTGTATTATTCCCTGTCTGATTTTTTAAATTTATTAAACACACAGGTGTGTGTGTGTGTATACTTGTGTGTGTATACTTATGTATATAATTATATATATATATATAAAACCACAATGAAATATTCTACATCAATTTTGTTCTGCAAAAACAGCCATGCAAATGTGTCCAAACGACTAAAACCAAATTAAGGGAATGTAAATGAGTTTTGGTTAGGAAGCAAATTCTTCAATGGAGATATCTAAAAATTTAATTTTTAGTTAAAAACCAACAGTTTTAATTTGTATACTCATTTTACAATGAGTAAACACTTCAGCACATGCTTCAGCCTGAAAATATCTCTGTTTGAACCCTGGGCTTTCAACTTCATATCATCAAGCTCAGTTTGGTACTTTGCTAGTTTTTTATATAGTACCTAGGAAGAAAAGTTTTTTCCATAAGGTTTAAGTATACTGCTTGTACCTTAAAAAAAAATTAGTGTTTATCTAAGGTCTATGGCTTTATTAACTGGTTCTTGAAGGGCATGTGAAATGTAAATTGGGTGTATTTTTTTAAAACCAAATTTTTCATTTGTGAAAAACATTTTTTTACTTATAAATACTTTTTTACTTAGAAAGAAGAAAAATGTCTGTAAAGGAATCTAACAGTTGAAAAGAAAAAAAACAGATGGTTTATTTAGCATCTAGATTGTCATAAAAACAACCAGCCTGTCCCATTTAACTAGCAGAGCTCAGTCAATTCCATCTCTTTTTACATTACAGTTTTTTAAAAGCCTATATTTTTAAAAGTAGAAGACAGATAAAAAATTAAGTAATTTAATTATTATGGAATTGCTTACATGCTAATTAATCAAGTGGTTATCTCCCAGTCAGGAGAAATATAGCCACAAGTATTAGGAGAACGGACACAGAAATTCTGAGAATTATTGCTTGAAAAAGTGAACAAAAGAAGGAAAAAGAGGTGCAAAAAGGCTGTCTTGAACTGCACAGATCAGAAATTTCTTCTGTGCAAAATTGCTAGGAGAACGCAGCTGCAAGAACTGGGGGAAGGTGTGGTAGTGTGAGGAAGGCTCCACGGAGAAACCCCCATTCCTGCTGCAAAAAGGCTGAGTTGTTGAGAAAGGTGTTCTGGAAAGTTTCCAGTCTACCCAAGCAAAGAAATTATAATACTTTAAATACTTGGAGTAACACCTCAATTAATGGAAGGGCCTGGAGGAAACAATACATATGCCAGAAGCAATTCTACTAAAAAGTACTTCATCTTATGATACTAAGATATTTTGTTTCCCACTGCTTCTACAAGCATCCAGGTATTGCAAAGAAAACTGTGAGCCTTTCAAAAGTAGCTGGGAGCACCAGGAAGCTGCATTTTTATCAGCTGACATCATCCTTATAGAGTGTGATTCCAAGAGAAGGCGAACAAGTGACTCCCTGGTGAACCTTTGGCAGTCAAACTCACTACCAACCTCACCTTTCCCAGGAGGGCACTTAAGAGAAAAAATTAGTATGTTTGGGACAAAAGTTATTTAGAATGCAAGTGGTCTCACCTAAATTTTGGTCTCAAGAATTAAACACTTGATCTAAATCCATTAGCTATACTACCTCTATGATGAAGGGAGAGAGATAAAATTAATCACTTTAAAAACTGGGGTGAGATCTCCTGGAGGACTTTTCATCACTTAAAAGGGTCCTTTAATGACTTAAAAGTTTTATGTACTGGACATCAGGTACAGTTAATTTGCTCCTTTAAAACTGAGTAGCACTTCTAGAGGAAGAGAAAGTCAAGTGAGCAGTAGAGCAAGTGCACAGAGCAAGTACAGGAAAACCCAAATGAAGGCAAGAAGCTGAAGAAACAGAAGAAAACTCACATCACCCACAGAAGTGATGAACTCCTACAGGTATTAAGATAAATTTCCAGCTGCCTGGAAAACACATTAGTGCAGGAGTATTGTGTGTGCATGAGATGACACTAGAAATATTTTAACTACTTTCACCAGGAACTGCACAGAGATAAATAACACAGTAAGTAATGTAAGGCTGTATTATAACACACTATTTCAAGCATCTTCTATCCAAAAGTAACTCTTGAAGAAACATAAATACAGTCTGTGTTGCCACTGAAACTTACACTTGCCAGACCTCTGTCACATAATTTTAAAATGCAAAAAACTTTCAATAATAAAAGAAAACAAGAGCTTTGCATTTGAAATGTTAAAACTTTCAGAAGTATATTTATTTATTTATTTGCATTCAATGCCTTTTTCTTCAACCCATAAAACAAAAAAGATGACTGCAGAATATGAAAATTAGCCTATTGAATTTTATTATAAAAATTGGATCTGACACTCATCAGTTTTTTATCTAAATGGATCATTTTCTCTTGGCTAAGTTGCATTTCAAGCTTTTTCTTCACAAGGCTTCACTGAATCTCTGAAACATTCAGTTCTGTCTTTTCATTCAATAAACTGGAAAAGCAGAAGCATTAAACAGGAGAATTCAGACACTGATATACTATTTTTTTCTTTTAGAAAGGTCACTAAAATTGCAAAAGATAGGAAAAATGAGATTTTTATGTCTATTTTAGACTGTTTGGGATATTTTATTAATGTTAACTTTAATTTCAGTGTATTAAATTCTGAATAATTGTGTAAAGGATTACAGAAAAGTAAGAAGAATTCTTTGCAACAGGTGATTATAAGAAAGTCACATAAATAATTAAAATAAATTCATCCCCTGGGACATCCATTGGAATGCCTGACCTGTTTCAAGTTATAACCAAGTTATCTGTTCCAATGTAGTAATATTCATGATTCTTACTGTTCAAGAAACTGAAAAGAATCAACAGTTTGGTTTGGGGGTGTAAAGAAAAAGATCTTTCAGTAGCAGCACCTAGTTTTCAACAATTCAACAGTGTTCATAAATCTGACAATTTATTATAAAGCAGCACCCACTGGCATATTTTTTATTCCCTAAAGGCTTTGATCGAGTCTAGTCCCACTCTATGTTTCTGAACATGGCTGGGAACTCCAGTTGAGTAGCAGACAATAAGCCTTACACAAAGATTCAGTTTTACTTCCTCTCATGAAAAGGCTCCAAGAGTAAGAAATGGATCTTTAAATCTAACAACACAACATTCCCTAGTTTATGCATGTTTACCTGGTTTTATTTTTAAAAAAATTAAAAATTAAAATAAAATTATTCATATGCTATTTACCAGAACCCATCAACCGCTGTAGTTTCTAATAGAAAGCTCCCAACTCTAAATTAAATTAATTTTACTTTTTCACTGAGGGTGGTTTCCACCATACCATCATATCAATAAGACAAGAACATTTACATATAAATAAGCAATGAAGAAAACAATTTCATTCCAAAATGAAGAATGGCTCATAAGCAGCTTTCATAAATTCCTTTCCCTTTGAGCCATACAACAGTTACAGAAACCAGTGAACATAGGTGTGGCAGCAGCACACAGCTTTCCAGGCCTTTGTGGGAAAGGCTGTAAGAAGATCAGAGAAAAGAATGGGAAACAATTCTTATCTTCACTTGCTGCACCTGTTGTTGTGAACATGTGGAATATGTTATGGAGATTTGTTTACCAAAAGGTAGTTTCTTAATTAGCCAATGGGGATGGTGTTTAGATTGGAGGACCAATTATGTCCAGGTGTATCATAACTGTCTATAAAAGCAATGGGTTTTTTAATAATAATAGAATAATAAAGAGATTGATCAGCCTTCTGAGAATCATGGAGTCAATGCTAATTATTACCGGTCAGAGGCCTGCTGTGACGAGACATAGGCTGGTGTTATTAGTCAAATTAATGCAATTACATACTTTTACTTACCTAAGAGAAGCATATTCAGCTTCCTGTCAACTCACTCAGTTTCAGAATCCAGTACTTTTCTTGTCAATCTTTTCATCTCTGTTTCCAGAGAATCAATGGTGTCTTTCATAAGTGCCACTTTAGACATCTGTTCTAACTGTTCACTATCTAACTACAAATATAATCAAACACTAACAGCTGGCAAAAATAAAAAGGGCTGATTTATAGAATTTATTTCAATTTTTAGCACAAATCTTTTGCTGAAGAAGAAATGTCCAAGTATCTCATTTACTCAACTATCTAGTTTACTGAAAATAGTTGGCAAACACCTGAAATGTGACTTTCACATCCTTTGAGGGTAAATCGATTTCCCATCTTTTAGATCTCTGGGAATATTTTCATTTATTCATATACATTTTTGGTTGGTAATAATGCCCAAGGGCAAAAATGTTTGCCATTGATCAACATTAAAAGTTTTCAGTGCAAATTAACATGAAAGAAAACATTATTATAAGTATGTGAAAGGAGAAATCATGGTTTGGGACACAACATGACCAATAATGGCTTTAGGTCTCTATTAAGTTACATGCCTATGTCAATAACCAGGTAGAGAAATCACTGTAAAACACTTGCATAAAGCACCACATAACCACCATGTAAAGCACCAGTTACTACCATGAGGCCTTCAGGTCTGTAGCTAAAACAAAGAACAGATCCAAAGCCTCCTTCACAGACTCCAAAAAAGCTGGTTTGAAATCTGCAGTCTAAAGAAACGTCTATATTTTTATTAAAATGCTTACACTTAACATTCTTGGATTCAATTCAAAGGATTGTCCTGTCTAAATTATTTGAAACACAACTTTTAAAGTACAAAAATTCTCACCTCATCCCTCTCCTCCTTTACCAATTTTTCCGTACTAAATTCTGTGTTACTTCAATCAAAGGTCAGGCCTCTAAAGAGCAAGTCAGTAAGCCTCTGCTATACAGTAGCTTCTTCAATACTAGTGCCATAAATTTCATGTTGATGTATTGCACTCAAAGGGTACGAAAAGAACTGAAGAAATAAGATGATGTACCTAAAACAGGGCTCCCAATATCACTACACGTCATGTGTAGGCGTGTGATTAAAGTTAATTTACTACTTAGAGCTATTTCAGCCTACAGTGTATTCTTCATATCAGATGCACTCTATTTAATATTATAAACTGTGGTATTATATTTATAAGCTTGGCACGATTCTAGAAGGCTGAGGCAGAAAAAGAAGATAAACCAGAATTTATATCCATAAGATCTAGAAGAAAGATATACTGCAGAAATCAATGTTAATTTATTTTAAAATGAAGTTCTACCAAGACTGTAAGTAAATTTAGGATTTATATTCATTATATTAATGTTTCCATTTTCTATTTTAGTGCCATTTGTTAGCAAACAATTGCACACACAAGTAGCTTAAACCCTATTAAATATGACTTGCCAGAAGAGTGCAATTACATTTAGCTTTGAAGCATCAGTCATAAGATAATTCACATTTAAATGGACTCCAGGTCTCTAGTCTAAACCCCTGCTCAAAGCAGGGCCAGCTCTGAGGTCAGGCTGCTCAGCACTTTATCCAGTCCAGTGCTGAAAATTTCCAAGGCTGGGGACTGCTCAACTGCCCTTATGAGAAGCAAGTATTTCCTAGTATTAAGCCTGAACCCTTCTGGCTTCAATGGATGCCCATTGTTCTTCATCTTTCCACCAAGCACTGCAGTAAAAAGCCTGTTTATGACTTCTTGATGTCAAACCTACCAGCAGATAGGACTTACGTCCCTCTTAAACCACTTCTACTCCTGGTGAAACAAGCCAATCCTCACCTGGATATAAGATCACTGTGGGTAAATCTGTCAAAGCTTGGTACAGTCTTAAAACCACAGGATCACAGAATGGCTTTAGTTGGAAGGGACTTTAAAGACCACCTTGTTCCACACCTCCTGCAATGGGAAGGGACACCTTCCATTACACCAGGTTGCTCCATACAGACTGGCCTTGAACACTTCCAGGGATGGGGCATCCACAACTTCTCTGGGCAACCTGTTCCAAAGGCCTCACCACCCTCACAGTCACAAATTTCTAACTTGTATCTAATCTAAACCTGTCATCTTCTAGTTTAAAACCATTCCCCTTGCCCTGTCACTTGAAAACCCCCTCCCAGGCTCTCTTGCTGGTCCCCTTTAGGTACAGGAAGGTGCCAAAACATGTCCCCAAAGTCCTCCCTTCTCCAGGCTGCACAACCCCAACTCTCTCATCCTGTCTTTGTAGGAGAGGTGCTCCAGACCACTCTGATCATCTTCATGGCCTCCTCTGGGTTTACTCCAACAGGTCCCTGTCTTCATTATGTTGGAGACCCCAGAGCTGGCCACAGCTCTCCAGGTGGTTCCTTACCAGAGCAGAGTAGAGGGAAAAGAGTCTTGGTGAATAACATCCACTGCTCTCAGCCTGCTGTTTCCTGATAGCAGTCTGCCTGGTGCTGCAGGATTAACCATGAACATCACCTGCATTATATTTACAATTCCATAAATAATTATTTTCCCTTACATTGTGAATAGTCATTAAAGCTCTTCAATTCTCTGTTCCAAATGAGCCTTTTCATTAAACAAAGTTTCTTGGGAAATCTTTATCAAATAACAGCAACAACAAAATCCCATATAAAACAAGTCTCAACTCACCACAGACTTGTAAAGCAATTAATTCTCAGGACCAGAAGAGAAATCCTTAGCAACTTTAATTACACTGCTAGGTAGTTTTCATGTTTAAATAACCTGTGGGTGGGGCTAAGGTAGGATGGGACAGACTCAAACCTGTAACTGCTCCCTGAGGCTATCACGTTCTGTAGGCATCCTTTGGCAATCTGACAGTGCTGTTTTCCTTTCTGACTCCATGTGTCTTAATACAGCTTGAGCTGTCACAGGAGTGATGCTTTTAGGAGTCCTGGGGCATTTTATAACTTCCTGACAAAGCTGGGAAATCTCCTCTTGTGCCTGTTTTTGAAAACAGTAGAATAACAGAAACATGGAATAGATAATATATTACTGGGTCCTGTGGCTGGCTAGAGCATCCCAGAAACTGTGAAAGCATTTTTTACTCAAGACAGCACTTACAAACTGTATTGAACTGACAGATTCAAATCACCATAAATTCAGAATCCCCATAATTTTTTTAAAAATATTTTTTTAATAAATACTTTGCATCCATTCTGTTTTTCTTTTATATGAAGCTAAAAATATATCTTTTTCTTGCACATTACCTTGTTCAATTAATCACACAAATATAAATAAAATGACCTGTCTCATAAAGACTGAGAATTTTGTCTCTCTCAACTGTTAAACTTTGAAGTTACCCTGAATTTCTGGCATGACATTCATTTATTTTCCATCTTGACTCAAGTTCTTCACATTCTCTCAATAGTTTCAAGACTTCTGGATCAGAAACCACTTCCTTACAGAATACGGGGATATAGTGTTAAATCAGAGAAACAAAACTTGAAACACTTATTATATCTGGTTAGGAAATTTCTATTATTGGCCCATTTCCATTTTATTCATCCTTCTGTTTACAATCAACTAGTTTATCTTCCTGGTAGTTATAGCTTTAGTAGGTTAACATGAGATATATTCTAAAAAATATATTTCTACTCTTCCAGAGTGACTTCCCAAGCTCACCAGGACAGATGACTTTTTTTTTATTTTATGCTGCCACAAGTAGAGGTTTACTTAGGACTTGAGAATGTGTTCCTTAATGCCTTCAACAAATTCTCAGTCTCACATTTATGGCAGTCTCTGTCCTTTTCCAGTGACTAAATAAAGGCATCAAGCCTCAAGGTGATCCCCTTGCTTTATTTCATATTCTCTTTGTAACATAACCTGAATTAGCATAAATGAGAGAGTGCATGCACTGAAGTAAAAGTTTTGTAATTATTGATACTTCAATGTAAAATGGATAAATATACTCTTCAAAATTAAGATGAAGCAGATATCTAATTAAAATAAATATCCATATAATACTTTAAAGTAACTTCTGAATGTCTGTATTTTTTTTTTGTTATATTGCAAATATGCCTGAATGTTCTTCTAATATATATCTAACAGGAAAGAAAGGGACATAAAAGCAAAATGTTAATTAACTTGAAATATATCTGTTCAAAACCAAGGGTAGATTTGTACTGGAATATCTAATGAATTTTTAAATATGATAGAAAGTAGGCCACCATGTTTGTTAAAGGTCCACGAAAGGTGAATTTTTGCAATGGAAATAAAGTAATGTGCAAGCAAGTACTGTTGAAATCCAGAAAGTCATGTAAGAGGCTAAAACAGATTCTGAAGATAAACTGCAATTCAGAAATCCAAAACTGCACATCAAACCCCATTTGTTTAAGAGTAAACTAACGTAATTTTGAGTCACTACAAAGAGAAATTTCTAGAAATTGATTCCTACAATCAATTTTGGCATTCATACTAAATAATCATGTTGTAGGAGTACCTCTGATGATAAAGACAGCCTAGATCTCTGTTACAGTCATCATCACTGCTGACATATCATGTAGATTAGGTGAATTGCATCCTAATATACGGTTCTCTCTGAAAGAGTCACTCAAGTTCTGCATTTATATGCATTTCCCTAGTCCTAGGAAAGGGAATAGATCACAGCAATCAAGCAATTGGCACCTTCCGTACCCCTCTGAACATCAAGGACTCAAATTTACACACAGAGTTTTCACACACTATTTGCTCACTCACAATACTTTTACCAACCAGTGAAAGAGCACTTTTTGGAAAACATGATAATATTTATATATCCTAAAATATATACTTACACTACACTTGCCATTATATTATATTATATTATATTATTCTAAAACTATACTAAAGAAAGAGAGAGGACACATCAGAAAGCTAGAAAGGAATGATCATAAAAACCCATGACTGACCAGAGAGTCCAACACAGCTGGACTGGGATTGGTCAATAAGTAAAAACAAGTCACATGGAACCAATCAAAGATGCACCTGTTGGTAAGCAACCTCCAGGCCACATTCCAAGCAATCAGATAATTATTGTTTACATTTCTTTTCCAAAGCTTCTCAGCTTCTCAGGAGAAAAATCCTGGCAAAGGGATTTTTCATAAAATATCACGGTGACAGTAATTAGTGGCAGACAACATGATTTCACCATGGCAAATCATGCCTGACAAATTTGGTGGCCTTCTACAAGGGGGTTACAGCAGTGGTGTAAAGTAAATGGTGAGGAAAAAGCAACTGCTATCATCTACCTGGGCTTGTGCAAGGCATTTGACACTGTCCTGCACAATGTCCTTGTCTCTAATCAGGAGAGACATGGACTTCACAGATGGACCATTCTGTGGATAAAGAATTCGATGGATGGCTGCGCTCAAACTGGCCAATGACTCAATGTCCAGGTGGAGACCAGTGGTGCTCCTCAGGGGTTGATATTGGGCTGGTGCTGTTTAACATCTGTCAGTGACATGGACACAAGCTGGGAGGAGAATGGATAGAGAGCAGCCGTGGGGAGAAGGACTTAGGGGTGCTGGTGGACAAGAGGTTCAACACGAGCTGGCACTGTGGCCTTGCAGACCAGGAACCAGCCACACCCTGGGCTGCAGCAAAGGGGGTGTGCCTAGCAGGGTGAAAGAGGTGATGCTCCCTCTCTACTCTGCCTTCATGAGACCCCACCTGGAGTGCTGCAGCCAGCTCTGGAGCCCCCAGTTCAAGAAAGACACTGATCTGTTGGGGTAAGTCCTGAGGAGGGATATGGTGGGGTTTGAAGAGGTCCCAGGATGAGGGAAGAGATGAGAATGTTGACTCCATGTTTCCGAAGGCTGGTTTATTATTTTGTGGTATATATTATATTAAAAGAAAATTATATACTAAAACTATACTAAAGAATGGAAGAAAGGATTTCATCAGAAGGCTAGCAAGGAAGGGAATGGAATAATAATAAAGTCTTGTGACTGACCAGAGTCCCAACACAGCTGGACCTGTGATTGGTCATCAAGTAGAAACAACTCACATGGACCAATCAAAGATGCACCTGTTGCATTCCACAGCAGCAGATAATAATTGTTTTTCTTTTCCTCTGAGGCTTCTCAGCTTCTCAGGAGAAAAAGTCCTGTCAAAAGGATTTTTCAGAAAATATGTCCATGACAGAAGGCCACTAAGCTGATCAGAGGGCTGGTGCATCTCTCCTATGAAGAGAGGGCTGAGAGAGCTGGGATTGTTTAGCTTGGAGAAAAGAAGGCTCCAGGGAGGGTCCAGTACCTAAACAGAGCTAAAAGAAGGCTGGAGAGGGACTTTCGACAAGGGAAGGTAGTGATAGAACAAGGGGGAATGACCCTAAACTGAAGGAGGGGAAGTTTAAGTTAGATAATAGGGAGGAATTGTTTATTTTCAAGAAGAATTCACTTCTTTGGAGGGTGATGAGGAAGAGATCACCTCAAAAGGCTGTGGAGTCCCTACATCTGGAGCTATTCAAAATTAGGCTGGATGGAGCTCTGAGCAACCTGGTCTATTGGAAGATCTCCCTGTCCATGAAAGGAGAATTGGAATTAGGTGGTCTTTAAGGTTCCTTCCAACACAAACTATTCTATGACTCTGATTTCCTTGAGACAGGAGTTCTATAGGACAGAAGCCAAGCAGCTGTGATGGGCACACTGACATCTGGCTCAGTACCAGCACAACAGCTTACCCAAACAGCTTTCTTGTAAGCATGACATCTCTGCCCTTTTATTTTCTTTTCTCTGGCTTTCCAAGATGATCATAGTATCTGTTGTCCCTACAGGTGTATATGACTGAAATTCTACAGGCAAAACAAAATGAGAGGTTAGAAATACTCCTATAAATAAGTTTTAAAAAGATGGATTGTAAAATCTTGTACAAAATTATCAGCAAACCCCTTTTCCCATTAATGCTGATATAAATATTTATGACCACTGCTTTCATAGAAATTTTAATTATTTCTCTACTTGGTTTCATCTTGGGAGGTTTTTGAATAACTCTTATCTATGAAAATTCAAATTTCTCTCAGGTTTATGATGTAGAGCACAGTTTCTCAATAAACATTACTAAAGTCAAGGAAAGGTGCTCATATTTATTTCTGATTTTAAGTACAAATGAATACTGAGTGACTGGTTCCTGCTATATCTTTTTGAAGAGCTTTTCTGTTGGAGGATGGAGTTAAGCCAAGCTTCTCCTCAAGTGACACAACACTTTTTCCACATCTTGACAGATAAAAAGATGATTTCCTCAAATAATAGTTAAAATTCTTCATAATTATTTGGGGATGGAAACAGGAGGATGGATCATAAATTGGCACACTCAGACACATGCAATACCACCACCTATTGTTGTTTTGAGTGAAATTCTTTTAAAGAATTCCTTTAAAGCATCTTTAACCAAAACCTTGCCTGTGATTAATGCAAAAGCCTCAGCAAGAGGCAGGGAAAGGCAGCATGAGCAATGCTTACAGGTCACAAGATTTCAGAGACAAAGCCAAGCAGCCAAGTCTTATCAGTCCAGCCCCAGGAGAGAGATGGGTATTCTGAAACTGCCACAGCTGATCAGGCAGGACTGACAGTGAACTCAGGGAGCTCAGCTGAACACCTCTACTCTAATTAGGTTCATCTCTTCCAGAAACTAATATCCAAGGAGACACTTTCACAGATGAAAACTCCAGCAGTTGCCACACAATCTTTCAGGCCTGACAAGAACAAAGCAAGTGTTAGATAAGACTGACTTAATCTTGTGAAAATAGCTTCCTTTAATTAAACCTTATCTTCTATCCATAAATGATCTAATTTATGTATCTGTTTGTAAGATTATGTGCCAGTTGTATCATCCAGAATAAATATTATTCTTTGGTCTATACTTGTTCCTTGACAGTGTCAAACATTAGCTTCATACATATGATAAACTCCAGTCTGAACTTGCTCTTGATTTTTAATGCCAGGACTAATATATTACTGGTTTACAGACATCATGAAGTTAAAACATCAGAGTATTACAAGGCCAATTAAGCTTTTCTTTATCCCATCAACAAAATAATTTCAGAGAAATTACTTCTTATGTTTCCTTATATCCCAAGATAGGAGTTCTTATTTACAGTACCTCTGGCTGCACATATCTTCTTCTTGGAATAGCACAGACAGGGACAAGCAGACTGGTGCCTTTGAAGAAAGTGATGCAAAAAGGGTAAGGAGGCCATGTGAACCCTGTGACTCCTATTGCCTGCTCATGGCAAGGATACAAACAGCCTTTGTAAGAGGCTGCTTTAGGTAGTCCCAAAGTCAAGCAGAGAAACCAGACAAAATGCCCTTTCTTCCCTGCTAGCAACTAGCACAGGTTTTATATTCTGGAGACAGTGCAGGGTGAGTTACGGGGTTCTTTGGCAAGCAGCCACTATTAAGCACTCATGGATACAGCTCGCCTTTTCAGACATAGGAGTGAGTAACACCTCTGAATTAAAATCCCCACCTAAAGCCAGAAAAGAAATTAGAAGATTTTAATTTCCAGAAACAGAGCTAGAGAAACAAGTATTTTTCTTTTCCTGTTCCCTATCCTGTATTTCTTGTAAATCTTACTTTCAAATTTTGGCATGGTGGAAGTGGAGACTTTGTATTAGCATATTTATCTCCAAAAGAGATGTGAAAATAGCATCTCATGTTTTCACAACTTTAACCAAATCATTCATAATGGAAATTCATTTTAGGATTTATTCAATTTATTTTTAATTGGTTTTATTCTGGTATGTCTAAGGTATTCTCTAAGGGACATATGGTGAATTCTTTTTCATATCTTAATGCTGGTTAACGTTATACAGAGCAGTGGCATTGCTTTTTGAATATCAAACA